CTACTGCTACTACTGCTTCTGCTACTCCTGCTGCCTGCAACAACACCTTCTTCTACTCCTACTGCTACTACCGCTGCTACTACGACTTCTGCTCCTACTTCTAGTTCCAGTATAACCCAGCCGCCGATACTCGTTGAAGTCCAAGTCGAAGATCTTCTCGCCTTCCTGTCAGGGCGGTTTCCAAGATATACCTCCACTCTAAAGACGATTGACCTTCTTCTTAGGGCAGGTCGCTGCCAAGCTTGTACTAACAGCCTTAGACTCGGACCCAACACCCCAAACCCTACACCCCAAGACCTGCAGGCGTGAAACCCTGAACCCTGGCCCTAAACCCTACCTATAGTCTCCATTGTAGTTCCTTTGTTTTATGGTTAACCATATTTGTATTATAGGATCCTAACCATAAGACTGGTTAACCAATCAAAGGAACTACAATGGAGACTATAGGTAAGCCCCTTTGTCAGGATCCCTTTCCCGTGCATACCCCAAATCTGAAACCTTGGACCTCATGCCCACACGGACAACTGTGCTCCTGCCGGCCCTGCTTGCGAGCTGCGGGCGCTACATCGGGTCCACCGCGAACAACGTAGAGGTGGGAACTGCCTGCTTAAAGGATCATGGGACCTGTGTAACTATAGGGTCGTAACTACTTCTGACTAGTTGGTAAGGCACATGCAGCTTTGCTTACTAAGTCCCTTGATCCTGCAAAGACTCCCCCAACCGATCAGTAAGTGCTGTTCCTGAAATCTTGTCTCGGGAGCCTATAGGGCATCATAGCTCAAAGGACATATTTCTGAAGTCTTAAGAAGCGAGGCTACAGGGTAGCAGAACTTTTAGGGAATATTGGGGCTCAGGGATTATGGAGTCTCTTCGTAGGGTTAGGGGACGGCTCTAGAGGAATTATAGCTAATGTAGGAACCTGATTCAGAAACCCCTGGTCCTATAACCCCGATATATTAGGATCCATCTTCAGAACCCGAATAAAGATCCAGGGCTTTTTAATCAGGTTCCCATATTACCACACTGCTGTGGTGCATGCTCTGAGTCGACAGATCCCTCGAGGAGCAGACGTAATACAACTTGTCAGCTTATGTTGACCCAGTTGCGCTCTGTAAAGCTCATGCGAACTCGGTGGTGGTTGTGGTACCGCAGATCCAAGAAGTTGCCAGATGCGTTGGGTGCATAGATGCGGGCATGGGCGTCTACAGTCCTCGGATCGTCATCGTCCATGTTGAGGTGGTAGGAGAGTAAGAAGACACCCTCGGCAAAGGCTGACGCATCTATCTTCAGTGCGCTGGACTTGATCGTGGCTTCCACTGAAGATTGGATCCCTGCCAGGACTTCTTGGGCAAATTCCTTCTCCTCTCCATCACGATAGGACTCGAAGTCAAAGCCGTGGATTTCGGGCTGCGCACCGAGGCACTCGGGCCATGAAACAGCATCCTCGTCCTGGGCCTCGTCGGAGATAGGATTAGGGGGACCCGTCGGGATATCGACCCTCTCAATAAGGTCCCTTTTAAGAGAGCCACAAGTAGGGTTCAGAAGGGTCCCCTTTAAGGGGTCTCCCTAATCCTACCTACGAGCCTCGTCGGAGGAGTCTTCATCTGCAGTGACGGATGCCTGTCTTCTCATTTCTAGGACCACGCGCTCCGCAAAGTATGTCTTCCAATGTGCCTCGGTGGCAGTAGCGACGATGCCTTTGAGCTGGAAACGGTCCACCGCTCGCTTCAGCCAGGTCCCTTCAGCCGCTGCAATCTCTTCTTGCAGCTGAGCCTTAGGTGCTGAGTACCCTAACCCCGAGAGGTGGAACCTCATAAATCATGGTAGGAGTATATAGGCCATAAAAAGGTTGGGGTTTTGGGGTTATGGGATAACCTATCTTAAAAACCCAAAAAGCTTGCCAGATCAAGTCATGACCGGATCATACAAGCTCAAGAATGGTTAACTTTTTTGAAATCTGGTAGGACCATAACCCTCCAAAGCCCAAAACCTTAAACCCGAAACCCTAAACCCAAGACCCTAAACCCAAGGCCACCTACTCAGCTGCCCAAGGAGCGGGTGCCACACGCGTCTTCTTCTCTGCGGCTGCGGCATCGGAGGTCTTGCGCTTGCGTGAAGGTGCCGCCACGGGCCTTGTGGGTTCTGGTTAAGGAAGCTAAATTGATTTACCATAACCCTAAATCCTAAACCCTAAACCCCAATCCAGAAGTCCTAATAAGAACGCTGTTAGGGTTTAGGGTTTGCGTCCTGGACTCTCCGGTTCCCTTCATAGTACGGCTGTTGCAAAAGAAGCTACATTCAGTTACCATTACAAGGAAGCCCTACTATTTACCATAGATCCCTATTGTGGCAACTTAAGCTACATCGGGACCTAAAGTAACTTGAACTACATCGGGACTTATAGTAAATGGTATGGTCTCCTTGTTGTGGTTAAAGACCTTAACAAGAACCCTAAACCCCTTAATTAAGGAATTTACTTTAAATTATAGGGGACCTAATATTATGATTTAAAGTATATTCCTTAATTAAGGGGTATTGGGTTCTCTGACCTTAAGAAGAACCCGGGCTTGCGCCTGGGAGGCGGAAGCCCTCGGAAGAGAGCGTCCATGCGAGGGGAGCACTGGGAGACCAGCCTCCGCACCTCCAAAAAACTTAGGGTCTCCGTATTCTTTCCCTTCATGCGGAGGAAAGACTCCTGGGCTTTGAAGTAGGCAGGGAAAAAAAGCATAGACTTTTAGTTCATAACTCCTTTAAGGAACAGGTCCCCAACAAAAAGTATTAAAGTATGGTACTCCAGAACTCAGATTCCTGGCCGGAGGTGCCCGTGGTAAACCTGAGGCTTTTGGCACCTCCTGTGATGTCCTTGGCGACCTCCATGTTCACCTGGGCTTTGAAGTAACCAGGGAGAAAAAAGCATAGACTCTTATTTCATAATGGCTCCTTTAAGGAACAGGTCCCCCCCAAAAAGAGTATTAAAGTATGGCACTCCAAAGCCCAGTCACAATCGCCATCTCGCCTTCGGGCTTCACGTAACACGTTGGCGCCTTGCTCAAGATCAGGGTGACCTTACTTCTCCCATAAGCCAGCGAAATAGACGGTTAAATTTTCAGATTACTACTAGATGATAAGAACCCAAAAAGTTTAAAGGTTGAGTATTCGGGAACTACGTGACTTCATCGCCCACAACATCGATGCGGTCAATATCCTGGAACTTCACCTGGATGGAGTGCTTGGCTGCCAGCTCACCCGCCCTCACCACATCAAAGATGCTCAGCTCCTGCTTCGGCTTTTCCTCGTCCCGCTCACCAAAAAAGTCGCAGGGTCCAAACCTCTCGTCCTCTAGTCGGTTCGGAGCGGCACGAAACCCTGCTGTAGCGGTAGACCTTTAGAAACCCAAACCCCTAAACCCTAAGCTCAGAACACACCCTAAAACTCTAAACTTTACCCCCCAAACCCCGCATGAAACCCGTAAAGGCCGATACCCTAAACCCTCAAACCTACTTGAAGACTCCAAAACCCCTTAATTAAGGAATATACCTTAAATTTCCATAGGATCCCTAATATGATTTAAGGTATATTCCTTAATTAAGGGGTTTGGAGGCTCCGGCTACTGGAAAGTCCTCCATGGCATTCGCTTTGTCCAGCAGCTTTCGCACAGCCGCCGGAGTGCGGTTGACTTCTTGAACCTTGCTCGGTTGGAGGATCATGGGACGTAGTAAGTAAGGTTATAAAGATGATAAGTATAGTTACCCTAATTGTAACCCTATACTTACTAAGTCCCATGATCATTTAAGCGGCCATATGCTCTCGGTGTGGCCGAGGGCTCAGGGTTTCGGGCTTCGGGTCTTTTTGTTGGGGGCCTTGGGGCTGGGTTAGAAATTTGGGGCGTAACGCGTTGAGTAACGAGTTTGGGGCTCAGGTTTTGGTTGAGGGTTCGGGGTTGGGGTTTAGGGTGGCTCTGTTGTGTGAGAGCTTAAGGGCTTGAGGGGTGTAGGGCTTAAGGATCTTTTGGGCAACTCCGATGGCTGGGTTCCTCTTCGTAATGTCCTCTTCCGGCGTTTAGGGCCCTAAACCCAAAGCCCCTAAACCCCTAAGCCCTAAATCCTAAACCCTAAACCATTGGGCCTCCTTTGGGTTCCTGGTTGTGGGGATTCCCAACTTCCCCGATGATTCGCAGGGATGCGCGCGGAATGTAGAGACTAGTTCCCGAAGCAAATGCAGAACCTTTCAGCATGACCCCAACTTAATAATATTAATATGTGTATGTGTATAAACAAATGCACACACACACACACACATATATATATATATACACATAAATGTTCTAAGTTTTAAGGTATACCCCTTAAGTGGTATTGGGCTCTCTGGGCTAATGTTATACTACCCCCCCCCCCCCACCCTTTTTGCACGCCTCGAAAGCAAAACGCTGCCGGCCGAAGAGCGCCTTCCCCACCAGCATCGTTTCCTGGAGCCGCTTCCGGAAAGACCCAGGTTTTAGGGTTTAGGGTTTGAATCGAGGAGTATAAACCCTAAACCCTAAACCCAATATATCTTGAACAGTTCTTTTACCCTTCGGGTCCAGGTACCCAGATAGTACAGACTTTGGCCCCAAAACACCGTTATAGGGACTACTTTAGGGCCAAAGTATATACTAGTCGGGTACATGAAGGTTAAGCCCCCATAGTAAGTTAAGGTGCATTCTGTATCCAAGGGGTATTGCACTCTCTGGTGAGGGTTTGGGGTATTTATACTGGACGGCTCTGCCAGAGTTCCAATGTTATACACAGACGGGTTCTATGCCGGTTTAAGGAGAAAGCTTTGGGGATTATCAGGTGCAGGTCTGAGCTCAGGGATTACCCGTTATGCGAAACCCAACACCCTTAATTCGAAATGCCCTTCAAAGAAACCACCAGGACCCCCAAAACTCCCCCAACCCTAGAGCCCAAATCCCCAATAAAAGACCCTTATAGTAGCCCTTTGTTGAAGAAACCCTAAACCATCCTTAAACCCTAATCCCTAAACCCCTAAAGCCCCAACTCCAATCCTTCTTTGGCATCGGCTTGGAACTCCCAAGGATGCAGGGGAAAGCCGCAAGCCCGCCAGCGCCGCCCAGTTGCCAGGACTTCCGGCCGGCCTTCTTCGATTTTTGTTGTTTGCATGTGGGGTTTTGGGTTTAGGGGTTTAGGGTTTAGGGGTTAATGGTTTAGTAGCTTAGGGTTTAGGGATGTAAGTTTAGGGTTTAGGGCGTGGGCTGAGTTTTTTCTGTTGCCGTCTGAGGTTTGCTTGGGGTTTCGAGATTACGGCTCCGGGGTTAGTGCTGGCGGGGTCGAAAGGTCAGTGTTCAGGGTCAGGGTGCAGCTGTCCCTAAATCCTAGACCTTAAACCGTGGGTTTAGGGTTTAGGGTTTAGGGTTTCCGTGTCGTACATGTGTTGGGGTTTGCAGCCACCTGAGACTTAGAAGTCCATAGTCGCTGGTTCTTGTTCAGGTGTGGGTTGGGGGGCCTGCAGAGGTGAGAGGAAGGTCGGATGTATTTAGGATCCCGCATGTTGAAGACTCGTACGTCGTGCATTCGGGATCCCCAAACCCTAAACCCTAACCCTACACTGAAACCTTAGAGCCCTCTCATCCCACATTTGGGCCAAGGGCTGTAACGAAGCGGTGTCGGGGTTCAATGCTGTCAGGGTTCAGGGCATCTCTCTATAGGGGCCTCAATAATTACCTACATTATGTTTTTTTTGGGATTCCCTATCATAGATATAGTATAGTTATACACCAAAACCTTATTCTAACATTAAGGCCCCTACATTACGGAGTTCAGTTAGGGACCGGAATGTTTTTGGTTGTGTCAAACTGGTACTGCTCTTTTAAAATCATCAAAATTTGGTGCCTCATGCAGCATACCTTTCCACTCTAAACTGAATACACCTACCCCTAAACCAAGCCGTAGCCTAACGTATGCTAAGACCCAATTTCGCATCCGAATTCCTGGGACCTTACGCCTACACTCCAGAAGGCCGACCTTTGCAAAGACTATGGGATCGATGCCAACAGCCCCCAACATGTTTTTGCAGTTTGTGTCGGGGTTCTCTCTGTTGAACCATTAGTGGACAATAGAACGTGTTTCAAATCGGCACCTAGCATCGGGGTTTCCACCTGGCCACGCTACAGGTTGGTGCCTGCAGGTCAGCCCAACGCCGCAACCACCCCCAACAAAGCAAGAAAAGAGCTCTGAAGCCGTCAAATCTCAACCTCTAAGTCAGGTCCTCAACCCCAACTTATTGAATCGACGAGCTCGGAAGCCCTGGGCATATGACTCGCCGAGGCCTTAACCGAACCCAAATCCCTCCAACATGTTTCTTCAATGAGATATCGAGAATCAAGATGTCATGGGAGCAAAACGCGCTACAACAGCGCATGAACTCTCCGGGCTTTGCCGCAACCCAAGACCACAAACAGCCCCAACAGCTCAAACCAATGCCAAACCCTCGCCCTCAACCCTTAGACCTAAATCCTAAACCCTACACCCTGAACCCTACGATCTGAATCCTCAACGCTACTCCATGGTTCCGGATACTTACTTCCCCAATAAGCCACGGAAATAAAAGGTTAAACTTTCAGACTACTACTAAATTATCCGAACCAAAAAATTAGACCCTAAACCCTCAACCCTAAACTGGGTATCGGCCTGTAGGTTGGCCACCTGCAGACATGGCTACCAGACCAGGGAGGGTTTAGGATCTAAGGTTTAGAGGGGTTTAGTTTACGGTTTAGGGTTCAGGGGTTAAGGGTTTAGGGTTTAGAGTTTACGGTTTCAGCTTCAGGGGTTTAGGTTTGAGGGTTTAGGTGGGTGTAGTTTACGGCATAGGGTTTTGAACTGGGCGTTGGGTAGTGATTAGGTTGCGGCGTTCAGTTGGGCCTCCCTCTTCAGGCTTAGGACTCAGGCTTAAGGCTTTTGGTTTAGGGTTTAGGGTTTAAGGTTTAGGGCTTAAGGCTTTGGGTTTAGGGCTTAGGGTTTAAGGTTTAGGGCTTAAGGCTCAGGGTTTAGGGTTTAGGGTTTAGGATTTAGGGCTTGGGGTTTAGGGCTTAGGGTTTAGGATTAAGGGCTTCAGGCTTAGGGTCAGACTGCTTGCCACTAGCCCAAAAGTGTAAGCCTTAGATCCGAACCCTCCGCAGGGCCCTTGGGGCTCTAGTACCCTATTTAGTATAGTAGGTACCTGGAGGGCTAGGGTTAGATCTAAACCCTAAACCCCGAATCCTTCTAGTACCCTTGTGGAACTATTACGGGCGTGATCCAGGCATCTCCGTCCGCCCACCTCAAATTCTACGGGCTTCGGCGCGCGTTGCTTCCGCTCCTCTGCATCTTCTTCGTCCTTCGGCTCAAACCCCATAAGGTTAAAGGTTAATGTAGGGGCCTTAATAATTAGAATAGGGTTTGGGGGGTGTTTTCAAACAGGATGGCTGAGACACCTTTTGCAAGAAAGCAGCCCTCAATATAAACCCTGAGCCTTTGAACTTGACCCCTCAACCGTAAACTTTAAAACCCTAAACTTCAAAACCCTAAACCCTAAACCCTCAACCCTAAACCCTGAACCTTCAACCTTAACCCCTCAACCGTCCCTTACTGTCTATAGGATTCCATCGACTGCGGTTTAGAGTTTGGGATTCATGGTCTGCGGTATAAACACGGTCAGAAGATGGAGGGTTTAGGGTTTAGGGTTTAAGGTTTAGGGTTTAAGGTTTAGGTCGATGGAGGGTGCGATTGTGGAGAACAGAACCTACACAGTCAATGGGATTACAGTTCCGTAAAGGGTTGACGCAGTCACAGTCGCTCTTCGAGAAGCAATATGTCACCATGAAGCACGGAATCACGACCTAGACGGGAATGATCTAGAATTTGCTCGCATGGTCTTGCCGACCACTAAACTCCAGAAGGGCGAATAGAGAAGTACATGAACGACAAATGATTATATGTATAGAATACACGTGAATGAACACCTACAAGTACATGAAGAACATGCAGAACATAGACCGACCATACTGAGAGTTGTACTGGACGTCTGACAGGGTGCACGAAGCTGTTCGAGACTAGAGGATTGCTATGTGGACCAGGTTCTGACTGAAACCTAACCTTACTCTTGAATGGTGACATCGATGTATAGACACAAATCATGTGTTCAAGTTCAAGCCCAAAACTGAAATTTCGAGTCCTAAGCCATGAACTTGACTCCTGCTTAAAGAGTAAGGAACCTGTTAAGTAAGTTATATGCAGGCCGCGTTCACAACAGCACAACGCAAGTTGCGGCACATGTCGCTGTTTTTTCATAACCTACATGCCTCTTCTTCGTTAAAGCTTGAGATGTGGGCTTTAGGCGTGAGGAGTCGCGCATACAAACCCAAAGCCAAACCGCCTGGACCTCAAAAGACCAAGCCTAAACTCGGGATGGTAAGGCTCAGTGCGTGGGTTTGGCTACTTTTTTCTTGGATATTTAAGGACAAACGCTAGGGGTCGGATTCGTCTGAGCTACCTACCCTAAGCTCTAAACACTCTGAGAGCCGAGACAACTATTGAGGGCTCGGTGCCATGGTCTTGATCTCCTTTTGCATTTCTGTGAGTCACTTCTTCAGTTGCATTTTATGTATTTTCTGTTCATCTATGTTGCTTCCGTCGTCGTTGGTAAGAGCCTTGCTTACATGCATCTTTGGACCATGACAGACTACTCTGGAAGCCTGCCTGGTATGGCTAGGGATGCCATGAATGGGTCTGAACAACGAGGTATAGCTGGAGGTCAGGCTGGGACACTGTAATCTTGGGGAACCAATTATACATGCACCAAAACCAGGTCCCACACCTGAACTTGTCCTGGACCTCTTCTAGTTTGGAACCTGGAAAATTTCAGAGTTTTCGTCAACCTAAATCCTAAACCTAAACACCTAAACCCTTAAGCCCCAAACCCCAAATAAACTCCGAGGAAGAAACTGGAAATGGGGAGCTCCTCATCCCAGGGACACCAACCACTCATGGCGAATAATGGAATGATGGGTGTCCACTTGGCGCGCTTTGGGCCACAACGCTGCCTCGTATAAGCGAGATATTGTTCGAGTGTCAAGGGCGGTATGAAAATGTGTGATACTGTCCGAAATTTCATATGCAGCATTCCGTGCATGCAAGCCAGGCACGGCAAACACGAAACAACAGCAATGGAATTTGTGTCGGGCGAATTCCCGGATAAGAGATATCATGACGATCTTACACCCTTCCGGTCTATACAGCCGAAGCTTACCAAACACTTGCCGAGCCTTCGATCAGTCTGTATGGTGAAGCCCGGCCCTGATAGATCCTAAACCCTGAACCAGTCTGAAGCAGTGTTCCTTTAAGAGCTCCTTTCAGTGCACCTTTAGGGCTCCCCTTGAGGGATCCTCCAGCAACCCTAAACCCAAGTTCTAAAACCCTCTGGTGC